GCCCGCAAGGCCCGGCCGCAGGGTCTCCACAGAGTTGCCGGCGGGCGGGCGAGGGCCCGGGGCTCGGGCGAGTGTGAGTGTGGCGAGGGAATGCTTTCCCTGCCGGCACCGGGCGGCCCCGAGGGCCCGGCCTGCGGGGTGTGCAGCAGCGGCGTGGCCGCAGGTGAAGTGCGGGGGTAGAGAGTGACTTCCCTGTCACTTCTTCCCGTATAGGGTGATTAACGACCTTTACCTGGTAATTAGTGATTAATATCTTAATGGGTGTAAGGCTTGGTGTGTGTTTTTAGTGTTTGAACCTCAAGCGTAACAGAATCCAGCCTCTCTGGAGGGTGAAGCAGAGCGAAGGGCTGTTTGGTTTCTCGGGGTGTTGGTGGCCACAGACAAGCCCGTGACCCCCCGGGCCCCATCGCCGGTGGCTGTGACAGGGCTGTGCCAGGGGACACGGCGGTTATGGGGGGCAGCTCTGCTCATCCCTCCTCTTTTGGGTTGTTTTGGCCCCGAAGCTGTGAATCTTGGCGCGATGCGCAAATGCTAATGGACCTGCTGAAGGAAATACTGGTTTCTGGTTCACACTTAAAAAATGTTGTGTGTTTTTGTGGGTAAATAAAAAAGTTGATGCAAAGAGAGATCGCCACGACTGTTCTTTGTAGGACAAGTGGTGTCCTCGTGTCCCCACACTTGCTGCTGGTGTCCCTGGAAGAGGAGGCTGAGGCGGTTTGTTGTGGGGACGGGGAAGGGGGTAGGGAGCCTTTGGTGTGGATGCAGCTCCCCGGATCCACCCTCCGGCTGGCACTGGAGTAGGGCTGATAAACTGGAGAGTAGGGAGTTGTGAGACACACAAGCACTTGCTGAGCTCCAGAGGAAGCTCAAGCACAAAGAAACTGAACTTTCCTGTTGTGCCGAGTTCCCTAAGGCCCAAATCAGTCCCCTAACTAGAGGGAAGGAGGGTGGCAAATGTGACTTTTTTTTTTTTAAGAGGGATTGTGAGACCGGCCGCAGGGAAGAGAGGCTGCCCTATCGAGCAGGGTACAAGGAAACTGGACTGTGCGTAAATACAATATATGATGGGAGAGTTACACAATATACAATACACTCTATGATGGGTTGAGTCACAAAGCACAAAGCGGTGAGAACCTGCACGCTTTTATGCAAGTTGATGTGGTCTGTATGGATTTTCACAAAGCTTTCAGCAAGTTCCTTTGCCCGAGGCTTTTAGTTTCATTTATCTGTTATAGGGTAAAAGAGAGGCTTTCCATGAACTGTTTAAATGATAGGGCATAGAGTGAGAGCAAACACAGAGCTACCTGTTGGGGCTCCTTGGAACAAATAACATTCAAAAGACACAAATAGTTTAGAAAAGGAGGGTGGAGCACATCCAAGTTTTCAGGGTAGATAAAAACACAGGTGCTTGGAGATCGTTCTGCAACCCTTCAATGACCCCGAACACCTGGAATTTAGCAAATGTTTTGGGCAAATAATGTAAATTTTTGAGCTAATTTTGGCCTCAGTTATGCAAATACATATGATGGACAGGAACAGCCCGGGAGAACTTGCCTGTATGAAAGTTACTTGTGGGAGAAAATGCTGGACAGGGGTTGTGGAAGGTCAAATTCATGGTCAGGGAATAAACGGTCATACCCAGGGGTCACATACATTTTTTGCAAAACTTAAAGTCAATGACGAGAAGTTAAGGGCTGTCTCTAACTTGCTCACAGCTTCTGTGAAGAGGTAGTTGGACTGAATGTGTATATACTCTCCAGTGAAGTTAGTGCTGTGTATTTTTCAATTATTATCATATTTCAAAGGGACAGTCCTAAGTCTTGTTTTAAATGTTGCATTCTTAAAATCAGCGTTGAGGGATACTGTTTAAAACTATGTTTTTATTTTCAGTAGTAGAGAACAGTTGAATTTCCATTTCTGTGCAATAGAGAGTATGCCTTTTAGAGAAGGTGTTGTGAAACCTGGTCTGTTCTGGCACTGAGCAAAGACGTTGCGATTTCACAATTTCAGTGGAAAAAACATGTTTTTGAGGAATGATAAATGAGAATAATGAGCATAATAAAATTCAGAGAAATTATACTCTTTGTATAACTATACTGTAGCGTATCTAAGTGCAACATTTGATGACAATAAAAGGTATTATGTTGGAAGGATGATTTAAGCAAAGCTCAAAGAAAGGACTTAAAAATAGCGGTCTGTGTAATGTCTATAGAATGGCACGTAGATTTCTTTTTATGAGGTTTTGGGGTTTTTCTTTTGTTTTGTTTTGTTTGTTCTAAGATCCCGTGAATGGTTAAGAGGAAGGTGTGGTACGTTAAACCAAGAGTGGTTCTTTGGCTGCTGTGTGTTTCATTGTCTTAGTAAGACTTGGGCTTTCCCAGAGGTGCTGTCTTGGCAGTTTACTCTCTTGGCTGCTGTTTTAGTCTTGTTTTATTCTCCTCCCTCCTCTTCCCCCCAGAACTTCTACTATCATATTTAAAGAGAGACATCAGACATCAGTAATGCTCCTAATGAGTTTCAGGAGCTTTCTGACATTGCTCGGGGAAATAGTAAGATATTTGGTATTTGGAGTTGGGAAAGAAGGCATAACTCCTTGGTCTAAAATATTATCTTTACACTTAAAACGTATACAGTTTGTGATGTTTGGAATGTTATTCAGTAAACATGCTGTAGGATGGGGGATTGTTTTATTTGTGGGTAATTATGGTGGGAGTGCCATGGAGCTACCAAGCTTGGATCGGGAACTCAAGGTATGGAACATGTTCTCCTATGAAGAATCAGTAAACTGAGATTCTTCAGTCTTGAAAACTTGACTGAGGAAGGATTGCTATGGTCTACAAATCATGGTAGGCATGAGTGCGAACTGTCTAGTCCTATGTAAGAGCCAGGGAGTGCCAAGTAAATATCGTAGAACCATATTTAAAATAAAGGCAGGTGATTCTTCAAGCAGCAGCTGTGCATCTGGAAGCCTCTTGCAGAAGGATGCTGTGGATGCTAAAAAAATGAAGAGAGGACTGCATGACTTTGTTGTAAAGAAATCTGTGGAAGGTTCTGCAAAATACGTAGAAATGGTGTTCTACCCAAGGAGTCCCTGGACTGAGCACAGCTGGAAGAATATTAGACAAGAACGAAACGTTTACTTGCCCTCATCTTCTTCATCCCTGAGCGTGGGCTGGTGCCCCCTCTTGCAGGCAGAAAACCACTGGCCTGACCGGGGATAACTGTCCTTGTTTTCTTACACGTCTTCCTCAGCAAGTTAGTGGATTTCAGAACGAGTGTAATTAGTGGTGGATTTTCTTTTGCATAGTTTGCTCTTACGTCACTCTGATAAATCTCCTAATTTTCATCACCTGCAAAATGGAGGGGCTTGTAGAAGTAGCTGTAATAATGGTAAGTCACCTATTCTCATAATCTAATCACAAGCAACATGAGATTGATATTTTTTTTATTATTTCTGACAGTTTCATTTTTATACATCTTCCTAGAAATGATAATTTACGTGTTTGAGAATCAAGGAAATTAAGTTACGTGAAAGCCAAAGCGTGGAAGCAGGATTTTATTTGAAACGGTTGAGAAAAACTGAAACTGTAGTCATTTTGAGTGTATGATTTGTACTAGAAAGATATCAGTCCAGCAAATCTGAGCTATGCCATCCTATTTAAGAAACAGGTAAAGGTTCAGCTTTTGGTGCCATCTGCTGTGTTTTGAGCTGCTGCCGCAGAAGCTTTGGCGGCAGATCAGCTGCTGTCAGGTAAATAGAAGCTGGAAGAGGAGCAGAAAGACATTGATAAACTGCTTCTGGAAGATTTTTTTCTTTAATCTGTTCAGAAGTGACACTGTACTGAATAATGAAACAGGCAGTGACTGGGGAAAAAAAAAAAGCTGCTCTTGCTGACCTGGAGTGACCTGTACTGCTTGAGAGGCGGGAGAGTGACAGAGCATACCTTTCTGGAAAGCTCTGGAGCTCAGCCTACATCTGTGGTCTCAGGGTGCTTTCATGAGAGCTTCTTGAAATGTTCAGACACGTGCGGCCCTCTCCAGCTGGCCATGTGCCACGTCCTCTGCAGCTTCTTCCTTCCTGCAAGCAAACCTTAGGTTCTTCACCAGCAGTGCCCATGAGCTGTTCTCTCTGAGATGTTCTTCATGCATCCTGACACGGAGAGAGCTAGAGTTTTGACGTAAGAGAGAACTAAGAGGTTTGGGTGTCAGCTATACTTTAAACGTGCATCTAGTTTTATGATTTTTGTAACATTTTTCCAGCTTCATGGACAGGAACCTGACTTTTCTGTTTCTCCAGGTGGATTGTGGAGGAGCAGGCAGCTGGGTGTCAGCTCACAAGCTAGAGTAGCATCATCATTGCTAGTGTTAATGCAGGAGTTACCGGAAAACATCTGTGGTCATGCAGGATTATAAAGATCCTAGTTCCATATTTGTTGGAAATATGGTATGTTTCCCTCACCCATGTAATTATTAATGTTTTCTGAAGTTTATTATCTATAGGTTTAAAATGTTTATAGAAAAAGTATTTCCATACAGATACTATTGTCATTCTTCCCACTATTAAGAAATTATGGAAATAAGTAATTTTTCCAATTATCCTATGTCCCAACTCCAAAAACCCCAACAGCAACAACAAAGCTGATCCACTGCATATGAGAATCTGTTAGCTTTCACAGTGATGGTTGGACTAGATGATCTTAAAGGTCCCTTCCAACCTAGACAATTCTATGATTCTGTGATCTCAGAACCATAACTTTGGATGCATTTTCTTATCAGAACGTTACACAGAAAACCTTTCTTTATCCAGTATACCTTTTTCTTCCTATTTTTTTTAGTGATTGGACTGTGCGCCTGTGGAAGCCTTTGTTTAAGCATAAGGGAAGTGATACTACAGTTCATTGTTTTTCTGAAAGGCTTTCCTGTAGTGCTGATGTTGAGGGCTGTGAGCTTGGGTCTCAATAGACATCAGCGGTACCTTGTAACTTCCCATTCTTACAGCCCTGCACTCCTTGCATCTCGTCACCTTCACTCTTCACAAAAATTTGCAGTTTTAGATAAAGCTTCAGATTTTCTTGTGGTAACGGAAGCAGACGGTCTGTCTCGTTATGATGCGTGGCTTCCAGCAGCCCTGAAAATAAGAAGCAGATAGAAAACACGCTGTTCTTTAAGATTGGAGCAAGTTTTGGTGGAGTAAAAGAGCAGTTCTCGTTGAGTTTAGCAAAGATGCAGGTTCAGAGAAGGTGTTAAGTGTGGGTTATATTTCATTGTGTGTGCACAAGCTAATACAGGTGCTGGCCATTTCATTCACCACCAGTGTCCTTGTCTGTTGGTGCCCTGAAATGCCAGGTATGACAGAAATGTTGGAGAGCAGCTTCTCTGCCGTGAGCACCGTTCCCTGGGTTTAGCTCTGAGGCAGCAGAATCTGACCGGGGGTTTGCTGAAGATAAACCTCACACGTTTCATAACTGAGGTGTTTCAGTTACAGGAACTTAAAGTGCCCTGAAACATCCTCCCCTGTAAAGTGATTAATCTTAACTGGTGTAAAGCTTCTTGACTGGAAAAAGGTAGCTGCTGTGTATGGGGATTCTGTGTAGAAGATTGTTATACTGAGCTGTCATGCAGTTCTGTAATTTCATGTTGGTGTATTCTGGGCAGTAGATAGCACAGTGGCTTGGCATCTTTTGGTGGAAATGCCATTCTGTGTCACAGCATCTTTCTGGCAGCAGAAATGGGACCACCAACATTTTGTGGGTGGAGGAGTGATTTACAGAGAGGTGTGGTATAATAACTGAGAAGGCAATTTGCAGAAACTTTTTCAAGATGTTTTACCAAAAGTAAATTCCCATGTTTCAAATCTTGTCGGATTATTTTCTTTGTCAGCAATGAGGCTGTGTTTGAACTTCCATGTGTCTGAATTCTAATTTTAATATAACGTTTTAAAGGTGGTGACACATGTGAGTATCTTCTATCCAGTGGAAGATTTCTTGGAGAGAAAGTATGGCAGCCCCACAGTTGTATGATGCACAAGTATAAAAACAGGTAAGGAAACTCCTGTTCATCTGCCTGGAAAGAATGGTAACTGCCGTTTGACTGCAGTTAGTAATTGTGGTGTCATCTGGTTTTAGCTTTCCTGCTGATCCTCTAGGCTTTCAAAAGTATACACTATATATCAGAAGGAAGTCTTTTCCCTGTGTGTTATCTGTGTGCCTGCCATGTGTTTTCCAAACACTACCAAGTGTTTACCATAGTTGTATTTATATATAAAAACACAAATAAATGTTGTTGGCAGTAGTACTGACACATGTTATGGAGAGCCACAAGAAGAGAAAATGCTGACCTTGTGTGTAGAATCACCAGTAAAAAAAATCCCCAATAAAATTACCACTCACTTTTTCCACCTACCAGTAACAGCACTTTATTCTTTAGAATTATGCTGTATATTACGGTTTTGAAACTACCGTGTTTGTGGCACCACAGAGCAGGAAAGCCTGCTTGGATGTTTGCCTAATCACATTAGCAGGAGAGCTCATTTTCATTTCTGTGCAAATTACACTAAACTTTTTATTAATTCAGCATGTTTTAAAAAAGATGTATTATTCCCTGGAGCTGGAAGAATGCTTAGAATTATCTATATTGCTCTGTAGATTTTCTAAAAGACTTTTATGTAAATTTCCTGTAACATGAAGGTTGCTGTTTTGTTTTACAGTGAAGCAAAAAATTGCCTCATAGACAAACATATTGTGTTTATAGGAGATTCTAGAATTCGACAGCTGTTCTATTCATTTATAAAACTCATAAATCCTCAAGTCAAAGAAGAAGGAAATAAGGTGAGAGTTTATTTTGATGATGTGTTTGTTTCTTTCTTCCTAATTTACCTCATAACTCTTCTCTGAACTTCAAAAAAGCAAGAAATGATGCCATTTACTGGGTTACCCATCAGGAAGAAGAACCACAGAAAGGTCTTTTGGAGAAGAACAAGATTAGACCAAGATAATATTTTGGATAGTAATGAGATGATGGGGAATCTGAGAGGTGAACTGGAGAGCTGGAAGGAGAGCTCGCGGCAGGCTGGGAGTAAATTAATGAAGCTGACTTGTCCCATAGCAACTTGTGCTTCAGATTTGGCTTCTTGATGAGAAAATGATTGCTCCTTTGTGTGTTTTTAAATAGTATTAATTCATGCCTTATAATTTGTCATGTTAAATGTCAGTTAAATTGCTGATCTAATCTGTTCATAAAAATCCTTGGGGCAATGACAGATTTCCAGGTCTAACTTGAGGCTGAAACTAAAAATAGCTTCTGGTCTTACCTTCCTTTTGATGGCTGCTGAGGAGCTGTTTGAATTTGCTCAGGGGCAGAGGGTAAGCTGCAGCTGGCTGGCTGGGGGCAGCAAGAAAGGATTTAGCTGTGTCATTTGTTGAACAGAATATTCATTTCTTTTGCTATATCATTCCCCTTGAGCGTCTCCCTTTATGGATGTAGGTACATATGGGAGGGAAAAGATGTTCCACTTCCAACTGGGGTGAGATTTGTCCATTATTTTGCACTTCTGCTGATTAGAAGGGCAAGCTGGCAGCTTTTTCAGCAGGCAGCAGGCAGTCATTTCCACTCATCAAAACAAGAAAGCAGGGTGTTTGATGGAATAATTTGGTTGTTCCCAGCCTGTTGGGCAGGTCACTGCTGCCCAGCAGTGGTGGTGAGAGGACAGAGTACTGTCATTGGTTTCTGAGTTGAGAGGTATCTTTTGTCAGGTATTTATGAAACAGAGATCTCAGTTTGTGGAAGAGAAATACACTTGTTCTTTCAGACCAGGATTGAAACCAATATATATTTAGCAGTGTTTTAAGGGAGGATTGTGTATGTGGTATTTGACTACTTCCTTTCTGATTTCTTACAGTCTCGCCCAGCAAATTTAATAATGCATTCCAGACTTTATTTCTGCCTGAGATTAGTTTTTTTTTAAGTTCTTTAATTAAAACTGTTTCAGTTGTTTTGTGCAAAGGAGATGGGCAGATCAAAAGGAGAACTAGGGGAAAGGAAGTGTAAGAAAAGAAAGAAAAAGTTTTTTTTTCTCATTTTGGGAGGCTAAATTTTGGGAAAAATGTATACCTTTGTAACAGAATGAACAGAAAGCATTTCAGACATTGTTGGATAGATCTCTTCCAAGAAAAATAACCCTTTGTACAAACAGCTTGTTTTTTCAAGAAGGTAACATAAACATTTTGCATTAATATACTGACAAGTTTATACAAGAAAAATCCTTTCTACTGAAGATAAATGTTTGGGTGAGAGCAAATTAACATATGAATGTAAATACTTTTTTTCCTTCTGAAAGTTTGTCTTACTTTGGTTTTATTGTTTTGGTTTTTTTGACAGCATGGAAATATTCCTTTTGAAGATAAAGCTGCTTCAATTAAAGTGGTAAGTCATTAGCTAGCATTAAATTCCAAGCCATAACAATGCATATTATTATTCATACAATGCAATCCAAATTGCAGTTAGAGCCGGATTTTCGTTTTTGTCAGATCTTATAATCTGGCCTTCCCAAAAATAGCTTTTACCAGGAAGTTTACTCTTCCCCTCTGGGGCTGACTCCCTTGGAGTGGTAATTGGCATAATTGCCATGGAGCGCTCTTTGCTATCACAGCAAGTATTCCTGCTGCTGGTTTTGCATGCAGAAATGACTACGATGTTGATTTTCATGTGGATATTAAAAAAAAAAAGAAAACAAACAAAGTACTGGGGTTGGGTTCTGTGAGGGGCTCTGTTCTCCTCTGCCCTGGCAGTGGGAATGGTGTCCTCCGGTGCTGTTGCTGCTTCCCACGACAGCTGTCAGCAGCGCTGGGCTTCTGCTGGCCGTGGAGTTGTTTATCCCCTGGAGACAACTCAGTCTCTGTTTGGGGAAACCAAAGCAGCAGTGTATTTGCTGAGTTGTCTGCAAATGAGTTTTCAGTGCTTATTTGTGTCCGTGGTTAAGATTTAGGGTACAGCAAAACATTTGAGGTTGTGAGCATGGCAGTTAAAGGCTGTGCTGTCCCACTGGGTTGCCCTTCACAGCATGTCTCTGTGCTGTAACTAGCCCTGGTACAGCTCTGGGCTGGGAGTCAGTGCAGCCAAAACCTCACCTTGTAGGGTTTGGATTTGGTCAGGTCTGGTATGGCTCATCACATGGTCATCTGGGTGCTGGAAAAGATGGGGCAGAACCCAAGGTGGGACAGAGGGGATAAAGCAATGGGATTTCCCTGGGCGTAGGCTGACACACAACTACAGCTTTAAAACTCCTCAAGCCTTGGTAGGTGGTTTGAGATTTGAGCTTTTGGGAGATGTCTGGGTAGTTTAAGAGTACCTAGTCTCCTGCTTCCTTGTTTTAATGCCATATTGCTGTTGACATCACTGGTGTGGCAGCTGAGTGCCTGTGACCCAATAACTGGAATGTGGAAAATACTTGAGCAAAAAAAGAGAAAATCCCTGAGAACAAGCAAAGAGTTTAATTTTGCCCTTTCTAGTCATCATACTGATCCTTCCCTTCTTCAGCCACAGCTGATGGCTGCCTGTAGGTAATGCATTTAATGTGCATAGTGCTATTAGATTTGAACAGATAATAATTTATGAAGCAGTAATGTAAAATGTTAAGATTTATTTTTGTTTGAAAATTGTGTTTTCAAGCTATCCATCACATTATGTAAATTTCTGGAAGAAAAAAAAACACTTGTCAGTAACAGCTTTGGGAAACTAAGCAAAAAGCAAGTTGCAATAAATAAGTTATAGATGTGAGCTCGGTTTTAGCCCTGATTGCATGGGGAGGTCAGGGACATCCCATTTGGTAGAAGCTAAAAAATTGCCGCCTTGGTGAAATCCCAACTCCTGAACTACAAATGAAAATTTCTTCTTTTTGTCATGGGGGCAAAGGTGGGTTTTTTCCTTTCGTTTTTGTTGGTTTTGTTAGGTTTTTTTCTTTCTGTTTTCCATGCTGGACTGACATGCAATTCTGTATTTATTTTACAGGATTTCCTGTGGTACCCAGAAGTTAATGGCTCTATGAGGCAACGCATCAAATCTTGGACTGAGGTTTGTCTTAAAGAACTGTTAATTTTAGGAAAATACAGCAACTGTCTGAGGGCAACTAACTTTCTTTTTTTTAATAGACACACCTGTAATTTCTAGGAGTCCCAACAACTGTAGCATCTCACATATGTTCAGTCAGTTATGTTCCAGAGATCTAAAATTTGACAGCAAAATAGTAAAAGGGATATGTTTCCTGGTGTGTATGTTTCTGGGTATCTCCTGGTCTCACAAGGATGGTTTCACTTGGGCCAAAAAACCCCAGACCAAACCAGAAGAACCCTACTTCCCAGGAGCAGGTTGATTCACTCTATTAAGAGCTGAAAGAATTTTACTCTGATTTGATGTTTCTCTTCCCCTGTGTCTTCAGTGGCTCCTTTTTTATCTGACCAAACATTTTTGATCTTTATGGGTCCTTTCCAACTTGAGATATTCCATGATTCTATGATTTATTGTTTGTGTTAATTTGAGTGTTGCAAACTGAAGGACAAAGGCAATTTGGAAACTCAAGAATGCCTTGATTATTTTTCTATTCAGTATTTCCCTCAGATTACTTACTAATTATTTCATGTGTTTCAGTTGCGATACAGGTTGGCATGTTATTCATCATAAAATTATGTATGTAATTTTGATAATGCATGATATGTTTATAGATTGGAAACTAAATTAGAAACTAATCTCTCGTTTCTTCCTTTGTTGACCTTTAAAAAAGCCTGGAGTTACTTAGTGATGGCCCCTGGTGGTTCTTTTTTGCAGATTCTCTGATGTGGAAATTGTGGTATTTCACAAATCGATGTTCTGTGTAATAGATCTGAAATCTGTTCTTTTGTAACCATTAGCTGATGGACAAGTTGAGTCATAGTTAATTAAGATATAAGTCCTAATTAACCTGCTCAATATAATAATAAGTATAATTTGTGAAAATTTTAAACTACCTTCTTTTTACTTTGTGTCTTAGGGTTCTGTGGCAAAACCTCATATAATTGTAGCAGGAGCTGCCACGGTAAGTTATACATATATAGGTATTTTTGTAAAGTAACTTCTATTAGGATAACTTTTATGCTCTTGAGTTGGTTATGTGATGAAGTCATTAAACCCAATGTATAATTAAAAATATACTCTCAATGAATTTTCTGTTACAATAAGTAGTTCTAAACTATCAGCTATATTCTATTATAGCTTATTCTGTATTTATACACGATGTACAGCACTTGCTCTTTGGCAGTGTTGCTGGTTGGTTTCATGAAGTATTCATTTACATTTGGTAATATTCTTAGGAAGTGGATTAATTGGGGTACTTGGCCTGCAGGAATTTTTTTATGTAGATATGTAGAAACAGAGTGTTCACTACATTCAAGATAAATTATTACATATTTTTTTTACAGATTTTGGCTAAATGAGAATAGATAAAGTAATATTTTAAAAAATACTGTATCTATTTTTCTTATAGTGTGGGAGATTCTTTTCAGAAGTTAGGAGAGATTCTTGGGTGGCCATAGCATTCCCCCAGTCATATCACATAGAAGATTAAATCAGAAATTAAAATGGCTCTTTTTTTTTCTATTTTTTGTTTTTTTTGCGGGTACCTGTAAAACAGATGGAAATATTTGACTTGATGCCACTGTCGGGTTTTGCTTGCACACATCTCTTGCTGGGGTCAGGTTTCCTGGAGTAAAATTGACTGAACTGGCCATGATTTTTGTATAATGTGACTGGCTTTGCTACTTCATCGTTCAAAGTCAAGGGGCTCTTAATTAAAACACCTTGCATCATTTCATTTATGAGAAATCAGATACACGTTAAGTTGGATATTATATAGTTCGCATTTAAATGGTGTGAAATTTAAATTCAGCTTCTGAATCTCTTTATTCCTGCAGTGGTCTATCAAGATTCACAATGGCAGCAACGAAGCCCTCACACAGTATAAAATCAATATCACTTCCATTGCACCTCTTTTGGAAAAATTAGCAAAAAGCAGTGACGTTTACTGGGTCTTACAAGGTAAAGTAAAGAACAGCAGGTAACAGTCTGTACTGCTGCTGCCTCTTGAATCATTCTCTTGTACCCTATGGATAATTAGCCCATGCTGCTGACTTGCAGCAGAAAAAGGGTGTTGGTTGAATTCTGGCCTTTCCTGCAGCCTTCACTAGCCGGTACCTGACTAGCTGGTGCTGGTGGTGGAGATTTTGAAGCCCTCTCAGGAAAATCTTTTGCCTTCTGAGCTCCTAATTCTGTGTTAGCTCGCTCTCAGCATCGATATGCCAGGCCTCTTCTCCCTCTTCTGTGCTCCATACGGGCCTCCTGGGAGTCAAGAACACAAGTGCATAAACCAGCTGTGTTCCTGGTTTCTGTCCAATTAAACTCTCATTGCATAAATAATAGGAGAGGTTCAACAGGTGCATCCTCTAGATGCACTTGTGTGTGTCTAGAATGAATAGACATACTCCAAAGAATACAGAGAATTGAAGTCTCTAGAATGAAACTTGCCTTCTGCACACGAAGCATTATGAGCTAAGATTGGGAGGCAGAAATCGTGGTTCCAAATGGGTCTGTGATATTTTTTATGGTACCAGCCTTATGTTCTTTTGCTTTTCTTCAGTAAATCTAAGGTATGGCTCTGACACTGAACAAAAAGCTCATAGGTAGGATGTGCTCCTGATTTCTCTGCCACAGGAAGCATTATGAGCTAAGATTGGGAGCCAGAAAAGATGGTTCCAAATGGGTCTGTGATATTTTTTATGGTACCAGCCTTATGTTCTTTTGCTTTTCTTCAGTAAATCTAAGGTATGGCTCTGACACTGAACAAAAAGCTCATAGGTAGGATGTGCTCCTGATTTCTCTGCCACACAGGACATGTCTTAGGTTATCATCCCCTCGGTTAGAAACAGGGGCAGATGTTGAGCCCTGGTAGGAATATTCCCAGCTGTACCCTGAGAGCCACGTCTGGGGTACAGGACATGTCTTAGGTTATCATCCCCTTGGTTAGAAACGGGCAGATTTTGAGCCCTGGTAGGAATACACCCAGCTGTACCCTGAGAGCCACGTCTGGGGTCCTGTTGAAGCTGGCTCTAGAAGTTAACCTGGATCAACAGATTGATCTTCTCGTGTTCCTTTTCAAAAGCATGTTTATCTGCAATAGAAACAATTAGCTGTCGGACATGTCCCAGTTGATAAATACCCAGTTCATTTAAATCATCTCTGAGCTCTGTAATGGAGCAAATAGGAGGAAGAGCAGTCTGTGCACACAGAGTTGTCTAGACACTGATTGTCCAGAAGTAGACACTGAGGTAGCTAAAGTAAATCAGCTCAGCTTGTAGAGCTTGTATCACCAGAGTTAGGAACATCACAGCTTTTCATAGCAATTTATCAATCTCCAGCTGACCTTTTGATCCAGAACCCTGCATGGCTTTGTGTTAAGCTCTGCATAATTTCTGAAGCCTGCAGGCAATTAAGTGGTGTTCCGTTCTTCTGTAAAACTCAAATTCTGCCATCAGTTAACCTGGAATCAACAGGATCGAGTGGAATATGCTTAGGGACTGTGACAGAGAGAAATGAGGAGCTGGTTTCTTCTGCAGTAATTAGAGAGCTTGAGAGGGTTGGGTTTTTTTAACACGTCTGTTCTGCTGCCTGTCTTCTGTCCTCTTGGCTCTGGAGTCTTTCCTTGGGGGATTCCATTACTGAGAGAAGGCATCAGCAGCTCTGCGCTCCAGCATTGAGCTCTCTTCATGGGTGTGGGGAAATAGAACAGGCACTCATGTCTGGCTAAAGGTTTCTAGTCTGTAAGTACATATGCATGACCAGGGAATGGCAATAAGAGCATTTCATCATAAAGAACTCTTGATACTACTCTAGTAACTGTCACAGTGACTCCGTCCTCATCGTACGCTTTGTCTGTGCCATTACACACTTGTGAGTGCCCCAGTGAAAGCAGCCTGGGCAACTCAAGCTAAGTGTGTGTCAAGTCTTAACATTAATGTGCCTGTTCTTTGTCCTTTCCAATTCAGATCCTGTTTATGAAGACATGCTGAGTGATAGTCGGAAAATGATCACTAATGAGAAAATAGATGCTTATAATGAAGCAGCCGTTCGTATTCTCAACAGCAGCTCCCGAAACTCCAAAGCTAAAGTTAAATTATTCAGTGTATCAAAATTGATAGCACAAGAAACAATCATGAAGTCTGCAGATGGCCTGCATCTCCCTGAATCAAGCAGAGATACAGTAAGTGTTTTTATCACTGGTCAATATTAAAAAGTAATAATAGTAAAAGAAGATTGTGAGTGAGTGTTGTGAAGTGGCAGATGCTGGGGCTGTAATGAGGACCTGCACATTCTTCAAGAAATTTTCCTCAGGAGTTCTCAAAGGTGGGAGGGCAGTCCGTTATATAGGATGTTTAAAATAACAGCAAACACAAATAGCAAAATAGTGTGTAGCTATTTTGAAATAGCTGTTAATCCGTTCCTCCTTTAGATCCTGAGTGCAAACGTCATGCCCTCATCTGCATGAGTGAGTTGGAGTGACAATAATTTGTAAAGCAGTGCTAAGGAATGTCTTTACCTTTTCCCCTATGTGCCTATATCGTTTTCTTTAGTAAGGAGTATCAAAAGGATAAGAAAACACACAATGTGCACTTTCCTGGTTGCATGGACTGCCACTGACCGTATTTCTTCGTTTATCTTTAACCTACCAACCTACCTACACACACACACACACACACACACACATATATATATATATATATATGTGCCTGCAGTGAGCCTCTCTGGCTTTGTCCGCCTGCCCTTCTTGTGACCGAGCTCTCCCACCGCGTTCCACTCCGTTGCAGGTTCCAGTTGCTTCCAAGTCCTGGCTGAGCTAAATACTGTCTCACCACAGGTTTCAGTCTCGTTGTCACCTTTTAGAGACTTTCATTCCCATGCTGCTTCAGGACCCAAGTTTGTGAGCTGTTTTTCATTTGTAGTCCGTTTAGCTCTTTACAGCTGCTTCTGTAGCTGGCAGAGAAGCCTTCTGGTGGAGGGGTTAAGATTAGCTCTCTCTGCTCCCCACAGGAAGCTCAAGGGTTTCCTGTTCGAAGAGGTGTTTTGACCCTACTGTTGAATGCAACTAGGAATATGGGGGTACTGTGAAACTTTGTCATGATTATGGAGGATTGCAGATGTTTTATGTCAGTGCATGGTCTAGAAGAAAATTTCTTATGATGAAAATGTTTTTTATTAGAGATGAATTGACAAAGCTTTCTGTTCCTTTGACAGAACGCGATGATTCTTATGAACGTCTACTGCAATAAGATAATGAAGCCCATCGATGGCTCCTGCTGCCAGCCTCAGCCTCCTCTCACTCTCATACAGAAGTTGGCTTTCTGTTTCTTTACTTTCTCCATTATTGGATATTTAATTATCAGTTTAATTCATCGGAATAATTTTCGGAAGAACAAATCATGCACTGATTTGGAAAGCGGAGAGGAGAAGAAGCCTGCCATCAGCACTCCTAACGTTTCTACTTTGGAGATGCTCTTACACTCCTTCTGCAAACTGGGTCTGATCATGACCTATTTTTATCTATGTGACAGAGCAAATCTTTTCATGAAGGAAAATAAATTTTATACACATTCATCTTTCTTCATACCCATCGTCTATATCTTGGTTTTGGGGGTATTTTATACCGAAAATACCAAAGAGGTAATGATCATGTTGATGTCCTACTGTTAACATTGTTTCTCAGTTTGAGTGTAAATAACTAATTGCTGAATATTTGAAGTTAAACTTTCAAAGTCAGTATAACTCATCTGCAAAAAAATGTGCTCACAAGCAATATGATGTTTGGGTGGAATTGGATGCAGAAAGTTTTTGGAAGTGTATGGGTAGGAGCACTTCTAGCCCCTGTCACTCAGATCCAAAGTGAGAGAGAGAGCTCAGATAGGAGGGGGTGTCACACACGTTGAAATCTGGCAGAGCTGTGTCCACTAGACAGAAGTTCATTTACACTTGAAACCTATTTACCCGTAAAGTGGTTTATTGTTTTGAACTTTTTCTCCTCATTTTGTAGATGTTCGTTGTACTTTTTGGAATAGCAACACTCTTGTTTTGTTTTGCATTAGACTAAAGTGTTAAATAGAGAACAGACTGATGAATGGAAGGGCTGGATGCAACTTGTTATTTTGATTTATCATATCTCTGGAGCAAGCACTGTAAGTCATTTGAATTTCATGTTTTTTAAAAGTGGGAGTGCAATTTGGGTGTGTTACTTCAAAAGACAGTACAAATGTGTATTAGGGTTGAATAGAATTAATAACTCATGCTATTGTTCCTGTAGTTTTAAAAATGCTATAAGCAGAGTTAGTTTTTCTCTCTATTTAAGCATAGATTTCTTTGATAAGAGCATTTTATGCATCAATTAGCCAATGAAAAAATACTCTTGTTTCCTCTAAGTAGAATATGGTGTGAGTTTAATTGATAGCAATGCTTTGTTTTTATGTTGAGAACATGAAACTGCAGAAGGTCTGAAGAGCCTTTCTTAACCCTCCCTTACCCGGTTACAGAACACGGAAAGCGTAGAGCAATTCATAGCAGAAACCCATTTTAACATCAGAGAGGTCAGGGCAACAAAGGGCTTAGTAAGAACCTGGGAAATGCAGCATAATTTTTCTTTTATTAGTTAAACCTGATTTACTGCGATGCAGAAAAAGCATAAAATAAAGGGGAAGAAAGGAAAATCAAAAGCATTTATAAAAGCGACTTTATTTTTCTCACCAGTTTCTGCCAGTGTACATGCACATTCGTGTGCTGGTGGCTGCATATCTGTTCCAGACGGGCTACGGACACTTCTCTTACTTCTGGATAAAAGGGGACTTTGGTGTATACAGAGTGTGCCAGGTATGATAATCCAATAGAGAAATCTGTACAGATAACAAAATATCCACGATAACACCCGTACTCCCTAAATAATGTGGGAGGAGATTGCTTAACCCAGGCTTGCACGTTAGAAATGACTGTTGTTTCTATATAATCTGACCTGTTCAATCAGCAGTATTTATCTAATATAAACATATACCATAGAAATGTAAAAACATAAGTATGTAGACTTTAAAATATCAAGACAGCCAATTTCCCCTATATAGCAGTGGAGCCTTCGTGGCAGTAGCAGTTTACAGGATATAGCAGTATGTAAGTAAGGATCCAGGCAGGGTTGCTGTCAGCAAAGAGGGGTATCATCCCCAACACACTGATTTGTGAAACCTTTCTGGATTTATTCTGTGGTTACTGGTGAGTGAGTGGTTTTCCTGAGTAGCTGGGATGTTCTGAGTTGTCCTCTGAACAGCCTTTTGTCAGTTCCCACTGAGAACCTCAGTGTGTTCTCAGCTCCTCTTCCCTGCTGGCAAAAAAAACTTATGGGTTTCCCAAATCAGCCATTGGAAATACTTCATTTTGCTTCTCTGACCCTGTTCTTAAAACATCAGTCTGCTCCGTGTTGGTATTTTCCTGTGTGTTTGGGTTGTTTTAGTTATTGGGGTGTTTCTATTGGAGTTTTCTTTATACAACTAACTGGTAAATGTTTGGTGAATCCAGGGGGTGGTTGTGTACAGAACTCCTGGTTTTGTCCTCTCCTGTGAATAGAGGGAGCTACTCCATGGATTGGTTTGCTGGCTCCCAGCATGGCGAGCCTTTATGTAGACACAACAAACGCTGCCTTGTCTCTGAATTAAATTGAAGTGATTTCCACGTGCTAAAATTTTGAAAAAAATTTTGTGTGCACTTTGGAGTTTTCCTTACTTGTTGGTGAACCGAAGAACTTTGTGATTGGTTAGTTGGGGGCATGGATAGTGTCCCAAAGTACTCGTGATGCCTTTCTTTCCTTCAGATGAGTGATCTTTTGGATCCATTACAAAACCCTTCACGTTGCTATTTTATTTAGTATCCAGCTGCTTTGCACTGAGGTAGATTACAAATACATGAACAAGAGTCATCGCTGTAGTATTTATTACCTCTTTCAAGACATGGCAAAGTTGCCAAATGATACATACACATTACTTTTTCTCTCATTCTCAACTGAGAATTTGTTGGGTTGGGTTTTTTTTGTTGGAACAGTTAGTTCTGTATAACTGTGATTAACCCCTTGATAGAATACAGTCAGAAATACCACACCCCTTTCTTTAGAAATTTCTTTAGATGAAATTTCACAAAAGTCTCAGATGTATCTGCTTCCTTTGAAAAACAAATATGCAGGGGTTGTTTGGGGGTATATTTTTGTCATTTAAAACTGGTATTTTTCTTGGTCCAAAAGCCCTTTCAGTTACAGGTTTGAGTTCAGTTGGTGTTATATTCTCATGTAACTCGGGTCATTGTGCTTATTAAAGGTCTGGGTGCAGCACATTGCCCTGGCGCTGGTGACAGCAAAGTACTGTGTTTTTGATGTTCCCGAGATGCTTTTCCCCTGTTTCAACCAAAATATAATCAGTGTGTGAGGAGCACGTCCCCCGTCTCTCGTGGCTTTGCCTCCCGGTTTATATACCCTCTGCCTTCTCTCCTCTGACTCCCTCCAGGTTTTATTTCGGCTCAATTTCTTGGTGGTGGTGCTGTGCATCGTGATGGACCGGCCCTACCAGTTCTACTACTTCGTGCCCTTAGTCACTGTCTGGTTTATGATCATTTATGCCACCTTGGCTGTGTGGCCTCAGATAGTCCAGAAGAAAGCAAATGGTAAGGGATTTTTATTTCCCTCTTCTGCTATAAACCATTTGTATGTTACTAAAAATGATAACCATAAAGAAAATGTCTTGGTTGGAAAATGTTAGTTCATCTCATCTCTTTTTAACATAGTAAAAATATGTTAAACAGCTGCTCACAGAAATGTGGTTGGTCTCTCACATGAATTCTACGTCAGCTGAAAAATGCAGCAGCTGATAACTAAAGTCTGTCTCCGGTTGCAGCAATGCTAGAATATGTTTTAATAGGTTTTGCCCATCAGAAATGTGTTGTATGAAGAGTTGTAGCATTACTGAATGCAAACTGAACGCAGGCAGCGTGGTCTGTGCCAGCTGGGGGTGTCACTGCAGCGTGGGGTGGGCACGGCAGGGACAGCCCCTGCTCAGGCTTCCCATGTCCTGCCAGACCAGCACCTGGGGGCTGTTAGCCTCCTGTCTTCAGATGTGTGTCTTGGGATACTGATAATATAAAGTAAAACTGAACTGAAATCCCAGATTTGGTTTTTTTTATTTATTTAAATATATTAAAAATCTATTTACATACATATTTATATATTTTTTTATATTTTGTATTTTTTATTTATATCTATTTAGTTTATTTTACGCATTGCAGTTCATTGAAGAGCTGTCATCATGTGGTAAATGCTTATTATTTAATTCACCTAAATTAGAACCAAAACCTTAAGACTCTTAGATCCTCGTTCCCTATTGATGGAGCAATATCCAAATTTTGTAGGCTGCAGATAAGACAATGGACTACATCAAATGCCAGCTAGGGATAGACGCTGCAAAAATCCAATTAGAGAGTAGTTTTACAAGCTATCTCAAAGGCAAATAGCTCCATTATTTTCTACTAAAGCACTTGTGCTGCAGATGCAGTGGTGTGTACTTGGGAGCAGGAGCATACTGTGAAACTTGGAAATCTCTCACTGACAGACTTAATTTAGGATCAATCGGCTGTTAATTGCTATGAATGCTTATTTTAATTGCTTAAAGTAAAATTGAATATGAAAATGCAGATAAAATACTGCTAGTAATGATCAATCATTTATTTGTGAATGTATCTCTTACTAAGCATGGCTGCACTAACTAATTAGCAATTATTATTTAATGTGTCCTGGGTTTTGCTATTGAAAAATTAATGACTTTACACTGATTAATTTATTTCTTCCTCAGGGCACTGCTTGTGGCACTTGGGTTTGCTGCTGAAGCTGGTGTGCTTACTGACATGTATATATTTTCTGTCGTATTCTCAGGTGTGTAAATTTTGATTATTTTTATCCTTAACTACCAAGGAGTATATTACCTATCTCTACTTTTAATGTGCTCATAATTGTATATTTACTCCTGTGCCATAAATACAGAAGGAAAAAAAAGGGAACCTTTCTATTTCTGTTCGTATTTAATGGGTGTGGGTGCTGGAAAAACCACAGTTTTGTGTCTTTCTTGTTTGTGTGTAATACTGGAGTGTTTATTACACATGTGAAATGGAAAGGCCCATACTCTGAAGGACGAGGCCTGCAGGACAAACGGGAAGCAAAAGCCAAACCCTCTCTCAGCTGAAAAAGTATTTTTGGGTGGTTTTTAATTTCTTTTGTCATGGGAGTACCTGTTACTTTGGTAGTGCCACGGAGCTGGTGAAACAGGGACGTGGTGCTGTTGGAAGGCAGGCTGTTGGTTTGTGTTTGGTCAGCGTGGCTGACATGGGGGTTGATGCCTCTGCTGGGTTTATTTTTTACAGGGTGCGTTTGAGAAGATCTTTTCCTTTTGGCCCCTCTCCAAGTGTTTTGAACTGAATGGGAATGTCTATGAATGGTGGTTTAGGTGGAAGCTGGATCGCTATGTATGTACCATTTGCATACATTTATGTATATATATACAATTATTTCATAAATGTAAATACACTTTTAAGTGTATTTTTTAATTAGAGGGTGGAGGGAGGGCTTTTTTTCCTTTCCTCCAGAGAAAGCAGGAGTTTGTCCCCCTGGATGGTTTAACAGAAGACTAAGCTGCATCTACCTCACTGCAAACATCTGTCAGAGCCTTGCTTAAAACATGGGGCTTGATTCATTTGTTGCTGGATCCTGCTTAGTTTGCTTTAAAAGAAAAAAAAGTCATAACGTGACCTAGATTTGTCTTTTCTCAAAGATTTTACTGTGAAAATGTCCCCCCTGTAGCACATCAGGCTGTAGAAATACAGGAGGAATTATTGTAGTGGCTTTCTTAGTGATACTATTTGAAAGTTGTACCAGTTAAGGATATAATTCTTTTAAGGCAGCCTTTTTTAAAACACTGTCAAAATCAGGGCCTTGACGCCAAAAGCACCTGAGCTTTGGTGTTACAAATAGTTTCTCCTGTAGCGTGTCTGTTAAGAGTTTGTACCTGAAGTACTTGTAAAAGCCATGAAATATTCACTGCGTTCTGTTTGTCTTTTACAGGTGGTTTTTCATGGGATGCTGTTTGCTTTTATTTATCTGGCACTGCAGAAGCATCAGATGATCTCAGAAGGAAAGGGAGATCCTCTTTTCTCCAGCAGAGTTTCAAATGTTTTATTATTTATTTCAATTGTATCCTTTCTGGTACGTACCGAGTGTAACTAACATATTCAGGTTGGTAAATCTCCAAAGGATAAGTTTTCTGAAGTTCTTTTTGAGAAAATTATATTGATTTTAAAAAAGCAAATCTTGATCTGGAGATATTTCAGCTGCGGTTTTGTGCACAGCCTTACCTGTCTCACTGAAATATTTATCCTTTCAGTCAACTGTAGATGAAAACATCACTTTTTCAGGTCATTGCAAAGGCTACAAGAAGGCAGGATGATGAAAATGGTCTGGTAGATAAGGCAGCTCTGTCTCAGCTCTTGCCTGATGTCAGTGTGAGGCATGAATGAAGGGTCAGCACCGGGGCTGTATGCGGGGTGGCAGGGGGCAGTGGTCCCTCTCCTCGGCTGTGGGGAGGGGTTGGAGACAGACACAGATTTTTTTTTTTTTTTTCTCTTGCTGCTACACTTCTTGGTGACCAGCTGCTGCTGCAGCACTTCTGAAGAGCTCACCTCTGGTTTTGTTTTGAAATGGTACATATAATGGCCTGATGGGACAAGAGGAAACGGCCTCAAGTTGCTCCAGGGGAGGTTCAGATTGGATATTAGGAAAAATTTTTACACTGAAAGGATTATTAAGCCTTGGACTGGGCTGCCCAGGGAAGGGGTTGAGGCACCATCCCTGCAGGGATTTAAAAGCCGGGTTGACACAGTGCTTAGAGACATGGGTTAGTGATGGTTTTATCAGACTTATGTTGATGGTTGGACTCGATGATCTGAAAGGTCCCTTCCAACCCAGACAATTCTATGATTCTGTGTTTCTGTCTTTTAGACCTACTCTATTTGGGCCAGTAGCTGTAAAAACAAGACAGAGTGCAATGAACTACATCCTTCTGTTTCTGTGGTGCAGGTAATGATCACTCTGGTCCTTTTCCTTACGGTGATAGTCTCTACTCTGTTCTTTTTTGGGCTTTTAAAGATATTTTTGCGTTAGCGTGGAATGTCAGACAGTGAGCTTCGTTCTCCTGTCTGAAAGTGGAGAAGGGTTTGACTGTTGCTTGCTGTTTGTCAGTGCCTCTGAGCACAGATTCCATGCTGTGGCTGGGCTTTTGATGAACCCTGGTGTCCTTAGCACTGTTTAAGTCCCACCCCAGCTTTTGCCCAGTGGGGCAGCAGTAGGAGAGCAGCAGGGACACAGGGGTGTTTGGGGGGTGTTAGTGCAGGAAGCCACCTCTGGGAACCTGCAGACACTTTTAGGCAGAGATGAAGCAGCCCATGGGGACGTGCTTGTGGTTTTCTTAAGTTCAGATTTTCTGCTGGTTGTGTCCCTTGCCCCACTGTACCCCAGCTCTCTGACTCTTCCCTCTCTCTGCCCTGTTTTATTTAATAGCTTGTCCTGCTCTTGAGGGGCAACACGTGTGACTTAGTTTTTTTTAATACTCATTTGTCCATCTTGACACCTTCTCTTTAAAAATTTGGGGTTATCTCAGATTTGTGGCCACCTTCCTTTGAGGCTGGCGGGGTGTAATGCGCTGTGTGGCTGTGCCTCCTGAGTGTAGGGTGACATCTGTCAGTGTCGGGGCCACCCTTCCACTGAGGGTGTAAATGTGACTTGCTCTGCTCTGACAGTGTGTGAGAGCTGCCCTTTCAACCCCGCTTTGTAAAGTGTAAACTGCGTGGAATTCTGTTTGCTTTATATATTTATTAGATTTTAAAGAAAATGTAATGCATGATGCGCTTCAGTTTAGAGGGGGAAAATGACAGCACCTTTTGTGTGTGTGTGTAACCTGCTTGTCATCCACAGTCACGGGGTTTTTTTACTTTATTTTTTTTTTTTTAAGATTTTAGCTTTCATCCTCATCAGGAACATTCCCGGCTATGTCCGCTCCGTGTACAGCTCCTTCTTCGCCTGGTTCGGCAGAATCTCCCTGGAGGTGGGTGGACTGGTGGGAGGTCCAGTGAACTGACACTCAGAGCTGTGAGGAGCCTTTGTCACCCAACTGGGGGGTAACACGTGAGGAGTGACACCGTGTGCTGGGTCATTCCACATCTCCTCTGGTGTCACAGCTCCTCTCTGCACTGAGGAACCACAGCTCAACCAGCAGCCACCCAGCGCCCAACAGATGTCTCGGGCTGGTGTGGGGGGGTTGGGGAGGGGG